GGGGTTACAAGAAATAATGGCCACAAGCTAGCAGAGAGCAGATTTAGACTGGACATTAGGAAGAACTTCTTCACAGTCAGAGTGTCCAAGGTCTGGAACGGGCTCCCAAGGGAGGTGGTGCTCTCCCCTACCCTGGGGGTCTTCAAGAGGAGGTTAGATGGGCACCTAGCTGGGGTCATCTAGACCCAGCGCTCTTTCCTGCCTATGCAGGGGTCAGACTCGATGATCTATTGAGGTCCCTTCCGACCCTAGCATCTATGAATCTATGAATCTCAGTCCCCTTGCTCAAACCTCCTGTTTCCCACTGATCTCTCTCACGTGCTCTCTCTGATGCACGAACAATCCCTTTGCTCTGAGTTCACGTGCATGGACCTGGGCTCTGAAAATCCCCGTTCACTCAGATCTACAGTCCCAGGGGAAGTTCTATTGAACATACATGAAATGAGATTTTTTTTTCTTCTTCTCAAAGGCTTACAAGTTGGCAAAATGTGGCGTGTGGAAAGATTTCCATGGAGTTGGCAAAGGCTACCCTCTCCCCTGTTTCATACCCTTCCCTAACGTATGAGGGCTCTGAGCCTTTTTATAGAAAAGGTTCACAGATTTTTTTACACAGGAAAAACAACGGGTTTTGTTTGTTTTTACCCCTTTCTTATTTACAGCCATGACTGAACAGTGCAGGCTCTAATTTCTTTTTGCTACTGTCCCCTTCTGCACCCTTCTCCCTCCACCAAAAAAAGGATAAAGAGAGAAGGCCTGAGACAAACACCCAGAATGAAAACTTTCTGGCCAAAATATAGTCGAAGTTACAGGCAACTGAAAGCAGAAATGGTAAATACCAGGCAGCTTCAGTAATAGTCAGGGCTGTCAGCCCCACCTATAATATAAGTGCAGACATCAGTTCTTGATGACCTTTTAAAACTGATAAAAATTAATATAAAAGACTAACAACACTTGTGCACAAGTCCCAGGGAGAGAGTAGCTCTTACTATTTGCTGCATGAGCACAAGGCAAATAGTGAGGAATGGTGAAGTGAAATTTGCTTTTCAGATACTTAAATGAAAGAAGCCAGCTGAAAGTAAAATGAATCTAATTGAATTATTCTACATTAATTATTCAAGCTGCAGACAAAATAGGAAAATCAAGGCAATTACTGTTGTTAAAAGGGACAGGATACAATGCAGGCCACTGAGTGCATCGTACAGATTTTCATACTTACCAGCCACAGAAGAACAAGAGGATCCCACTCCTTGGAGAGATCTTGCTATGAACAGTAATGTGTAGCTTCCTGAGAAGGCAAACACTGCACAAAAGGCAGAGGTGAATTTTTTTTTTTTTAATTAAGTTAAATCTAACTGGGTTAAAACGTTAGCTATTTTAACTATTGCAAAAACTCCATTCAATTTAGCCAAGCATTTACTGCAACTCTTGTGCCACTTTCAATGCTAACAGCATTATTTTCTTTTATTGCATTTAGATTTGTCAGTGCTGAATTGTTTCTCTGTGTCTAAGCCTCCTGGTAACACAGGGTACCAAAAAAAGCCATCTTTACTCATTCCTAAGAGTTAGATTATATCCTGGTCTAATGCAGCTGCACAGTGAAAGTTTAACAAGGTTCCTGCCTTTTCCCTGTCCTCCTGAACTGCTGCATTAGTGCTGCCTAGTTCACAGCTCCCGGCACTGGGGGATAAGCAGGGACTGCACATCACATGCACCCTTCCCTCCCACAGGCAATGGCTCCAGTCAGCTTCCCGTGATGAGCTGCCTAGCAAAACAGGCCACTGGAGTCAAATCCACAGGGCACTGGAAAAGGAGAGGGAGGAGGGTTTCTCAGAAGAAAAGGAAGGTGAGCATCCTTCAATCTCCCTGATGCCCCACCACCCAAAACCACCCTTGCACCCATCGTCAACCCATAACAGGCACCCTGAATATCCTGCCAGGGTATCTGAACATTATTTGAACCCAACCACACCAAAAACAAACACTTACTAATGGTTGACACAAACATGATGCAAAAGCCAGCAAACATTGGGATCTGGTAACCTATTCTGGAAAACAAAATGAACACACAGATTTTTAGAAGCAAAACTTACTTTTCCCTGTACAGGATAAATCAGTTTTAGTCAGAAACATTCTTTCCTAAAGGCAAGGGGTGGTTGCCTTTTTAAAAACAAATTAAGACATCGGCAGAAAACTCGGTTGCATTCTGGGTTTTGGACCAGAATAAATTGTTGCCTAAGATCCAAATCTTCCCACCCGGTAGAACAGAAATCGCAAGGGAGTTCTTCATTTCAGAGTTCGGTTGATCGAATCCTGCCATATTTACACCCTCTACAGCGTACTTGGGCTTCAGTGGGGTTGGATGGGACGGAGGTATGACAACTTGTTTGAGGATAGTGAACTATGAAATATTCTTCCAATGCCTGTATGACTAGTTGGGACCAGCTCTTTCTGTTCCCACGCACACAGTGAAAATAGATGGCAGGGACCATCACAGAACGGCCCCATTAAGCACAGCGAGATACGATCAAGCCAGTCAAAAGCATGGTCTGCTAATCCTTACCCAGAAAAAAGTGCCATCGATTTCATTAGATATCCTGCCTAACTTGGAAAGGGCTCAAATACCCTGGGGAATAACACTGTTCCTGAGATATTTACTGTTCCTGGAATGAGAAGTGAGTTGATCACATCTTTCCATTTGAAACATTTTCTTGGGAAAATGTTTTTTCACCAAAATAGTCCTTTCCAATGGAAATAACTATTTGATTATTATTTTCAGGGTTTTGTTTAAAAAGAAAAGAAACTTTAGCTGAAAACCAAGCATATTTTGTTTTTTGGCAACCAAAATGAATTTTGGACAAAAACCCTAAAACATTTCATCTCAACTTTTATTTTCATCACAACTATTCACAGGAACAAAACCAGCCAACTCCAAATAGGAGCTTTTCTACTGTATTTAATTAGTAAACGTCATGTAGAGTTTTTTATGTAAGAATCTGTCTCAAATGCATTTGTAAAGAAAACCTTTAAGACCTAAACCTTTGAACCTAATGCTTCCAGGCACTGATCGTTAAGAAGTGTCCAGTGACCTTGCTTATCGGTGACTTGCAAAGATCAGGCCCTTATATTGGTAGTTCATGTGTTGCACTTTCAAGCGCTAGCATGCCACTAAGTTACGCCGTGGTCCTGAATTGAACAACACTTCAGTAGTTGTTAATGGGGATTTTTGCTTAATTATGGACCACAGTAAATGCAAATGTCTTAGAAATGTGGCACTCTATTTTGTGCTCATTCGGTGTGCAGAACTCCCACTAGTACATGTGGGAGCTGTCTTATATGGAAGAAACATTAAATATTAAACAGAAATCTGCAATCAGGATCACAAAGGGAAGTTCTGCCCTAAATATTGCCTCTTTATTAAAAGCAATACCATAGAAAGCACATATAGCCATTCTTAGAGTTAGAAAATGTAAATGGGTATTAAAAATGACAGTTAAAGCAAATCATCTTGTGGTTACACAATGAGATTGGGAGTTGGAAACTGGTTGAGTCCAATTTCTCGAGCTGCCTTGGGTATGTCACTTATTCTCTCTGTGTTCCCTGCTCAAATCTCAGTTGAGGCCTCTATGTAGGTGACAAGGTGTAAATGTGCAACAACATGTCTAGCAGCTTTTTGTGTTTGAAAATAAAGCATGTGAGGAAACCTGAATATGGGACTTTAATATATGTGGCCAGTGACTTGCTTAACAGTTTCCAAGATTATACTGTGAAAACAAGAGATCGGCAATCTCCCATTGTGAAGTAAGGTATTGCCTGTGCTTGTCAGTGGCACCACAGGGACAGCCATGATGGGCAATAGGCCTATGCGAAGTGGTTAGTATTCTTTTCAGATTTGAATTTGGCCGATTCGGGGGACAATGATTTGATTTGGTGATTTGAATCATTGTCCCGAATCAATTCAGCGGAATCTGATTCGGAGATTCGGCCACTGCCGGATCGGCTAAATCTCCAAATCAAGCAGGCCCCATTCCCTGCCTGCTCTCCCAGCCCCATCGATGCAGCAGCCAGTGATTGTGGGGCTTTTTTCTTTTCTTTTTTTTTTAAGCGCAGGACGCTGGGGTGGGCAGCCATAGCGGGGCCTGGGAGAGCAGGCAGGGGTCAGGACACTCAGTGGGGCTGGGGGAGCAGGCAGGGGATGGAGCCTGGCAGAGGATGGAGCCTGGCATGGTCCCCTCCTCCGCCCCCTACTTATGAGCATGGAGTCAGGTCCAGCTCCCTGCAGTGGTGAGTGGGGACTGCCCGAATCTCCAAAGCTCTCCAAATCTTTTCCGAATTGATTCAGAGATCTTTGGATCAATTCAGACCTTTTTATTGGTCTCCCGATTTGATTCGGATTCAGAGATTTGGAATCAGACCGAATCTCCTCCGAATTGAATCAGCACCCAAAGTTTTGCACAGCCCTAATGGGCAATTATCGGCATGGTAGAAGGAAAGATCAGGTTCAACCCTGTGAGTAGAGAAACCCCAACCATCTGTAGCATTCCTGTTATGATGAAGCAGCTTGTTACTCACACATGGGCACTGATTTCAAATTCTGACATTTGCAGAAAGACGCATGCTAGCAGAGGAGTGGCTCCTACATTCAGGCTGAAGTCCCCAAATGCCATAGAAGTAACAAATCTTTGGTTGCTCCACTTTTTTTTCTGGGCCACTCTAGTCTGACTGCTGTGTGAAGTTGTTTGTACAGGAGAAAATTGTAAATATTAAAGCTTCTGTTTCTTCGCAATGCCTCTTCACCCCACATTAACATCTCTACTTTGTGTTGCTCTACTACAGAGGGAAACATGTAGGCCTGTAAATGTCTTCTGTCCCTAACCTCTCTCCAGCATCTCCTTTGCTTTCCCTTCCCCTTTAAATCCACTAAAAGAGAATTGCTTCCTCAGTAGTAAATCTGAGACAGCTGCAAAATCCCACGTTTGAAAAGGGCTCTCTGCACTCAGGAAAGCTTTTACAAGTATTCTGACTTCAGGAAAAGTGCCTATCATTAGTCTGAGAGGGAAAAGGCAGCTACAGATGGAAACAGTACAAATTGCTAAGATTCAGTGACAAGATGGATCCATGATTACAGGATTGTCTAGTGGTGAGTATACTTATTAACACAGATTACCCTATGATGAGAGAAACCATTGATGGGTTTTGTGTTGCAGTGAAACAAAGCAATGCTTGCAGTAACTGTGTCTCAGGATCTTATTTGACTCTTCTATTGGCTTCGGTACTGTTACAACACAGTTTTGGTAGTAGGCTGAGCCAGATTTTACTCAAAACTTGAGCGTTTTGGTGGCTTTAATTTTTTGATTGGGTTATTGTCTTGTAGATCTAGTCTCTTTGCGTAGGGAAGTAGGTCTGACTCTTCCACATCCTTTACTTTTGGTAGGCATGTAAACATCTGCAAACTAGGCATAAAATGCTGCCATCTTAACCCAGCATTTGAATTCACTTTGCTTTCATGTAAACAATTATACAAGGCAGTAGAAAACTCAGCCTGAAAATTGTTAGGGCTCATAACACTTCCAGTAAGTCATTGCTCTCCATATAAGAGTTGCAGCTAGCTCCTTCTGTGAAGTTTTTTTAATTGCTTTTCTAACTTTGATTTGGAAAATTTAGCCAGAAAATTGCTAGATACACCAAATGCAAAGGAGATTGCTTCTTCGAAGTCTGAAGGAAATCTGTCAGGTGGTTGAGTTAATATATTTAATTACAAACTTACCTGGATTTGAGAAGCTATGGCTTTGTTTTATTTTCTAGCTTAATCCCAAACTTGCCTTGTCACTATCCTTTCATACTTTTCACATACTTTATTTACCTTTACAGATTCATGCACTGGTTATATTAGAAGATCGTACATTAAAATTAAGCAAAGCTGTTAATGTGTGGGGAGTTATCATCCTTGTAGAAAGTTTTGAGAACCTTCTCTCATTTTGTGAAAAATGTTGACATAAAAGTTCAGTGTAATTATGTCGGGAACTGAATGAGCTACGATGGCCAAAATTTTCCCAAGTGGCCATTGATATTGGGTGGCCAGTTAAATTGGGCAGACAGGGTGTGTCTACATGTGCCCCTTAATGAGCGTTATCTTATTGTAACGTGCATTAAAGCATCACAAAAAGTGCACTTTCACTAATGCGCATTAAAATCAGCTAATGCACCTTTTTCTAGTACCTCACAATCGAGGTACTAAATTTAATGCACATTAGCAAAAGTGCATTAATGAATGTGTAGACCTGACCACAGAGACTGCACCATTGAAGGACCGATGCCCTTCTGAAAATAATGTCCTAAGTCTATGTGTGCACATGTGTGTGCGTGTGTTAGAGAGAGAGAGAGAGCGCACTTGTTGCTCTTTAAGGCTGCTTGCATAATAAAGACATAAAAACACTGGTATAGGAGAAAGCAAACAGAGATTTCCTTTTGTTCAAGGGTTACTAAGCTGCTTTTGGTGTTGAAGGGCAAAAGTATCGGTCTCTATGCTTATATGTGGAGGGGGAACTTGAGGGGGGGTTGTTAATGAGAACACACATTTTCCCCAGTGAAGGCTGTCACCCCCACTGAGCAGAGAGTGGTAGTTAGCCATCTTAGTCTGAAATCAGGCAGAAAACAGAGTAGATGTGTACCTTATGGGCTAACTAAATCAGAGATACATAGCATCTGTAAGCAGTAGGCTTATGAAAGCTTATGCTATGCATTTCTGATTTAGTTAGCCTATAAAGTGCAAATCTACCCTACCTTCTACTGCTACCACTGCCATGCTAACTTTGACAAGACAGAGCAATTAAAATAATAGATTTTCAATAAGTTTTTAATAATTTATTTTTAAAATCACGTTGCTTTGTAAAATTAATTTGATAAACTGCTATTGCACATTATAAATCTATAATTTTAAATTGCACTGTTTTATAAAGTCTGAGTTTTGAAAAAAGTCTACCAGTGGTATCTTACTTAAATTGTACAGGTATGTAATTGTATTTCAGTGAATAAGTCGGCTCAGTTAAAAGGGACTGCTCCAAGTTATGAAAGTACAAGTGCTGTTTGCAGCTGCTGGGGCTAAATCAGGACTTTTTAAAAAAGCATTTCCCTTGGTGTCATAAAATCTCTGTCACTTCAAAACATAATGACTTCAAAGTTAACAGTGACATTATTTAGTTTTCAATAAATTAGACTATTGTAATTTGCCATCAGTGAAGCTGGGGGAGGAAATGAAGTTAAGTCAAGTTGGAGGCTCAGGAGAGAGGATCTTGTAAGTGATGGCTCCCGCTGCTGTATTCTCTATCAAAATGCTCCCTGTCCTAGGTGTCCCTTTTCCCATTGGGATAATTGACAGCTTTAGGAAGCCTGCCAAAAATTACATCTGAACTGGGGACAGAACCATGATCTTGGAAATGGCAGCCCCAATCCTCAGCTTTTATGCCACAGTTCCTCTTGCACAAATTGTTTCCAATCTCTCTCTATTTGCCCAGACTGTTTCCCTTTGTGGCGGGCTTTCACATCAACAGATGAATAAAGGTGAGGTTAACTGCAAAATAATATTCTTGACGTTATATTTTTCCAGCTAGGTGATTATGGCAGAGAGGAACAGTATGTGTGGGACATTTAGGGCTAATCTTAATTCTAATAGTAGAGAGTAAAGAGAGCCTTATATCCGTCTCTGCCTGCATGGACAAAAAGCAACTACGCTACGGGCTGAGATAGTGCAGATTACTTCTTTCCAGTCTTGCTACAGGTGAAGGTGGAAAATCAAGGACATTATTGCAACTCTACGCTGTAAAACTGTCCTGGGTCTGCCTCTGAAGCAGGGCTGCCATGTGCCGTGTGTAGCTCGGGGCTTGTGTCCAAGCCACAATCCAGTTCTTAATTCACAATAACTCTGCTAACATTTAGACTGAAAGCAGAATATGCTAACCCTGCATGTGTAGCAAACCTCTCTCTTGGGCACGTGTGTGTTTTGTCAGGTATTCTTTGAAAGATGCTCTACGAGTGTGCATACCTCTCGCTCCTTAAGCTAACTGATCAGGTCATTTTTATCCACTGCATTTCCTTACAGTTTTAAAAACCCTGTCTCCAAACTACACAAAAAGGGGGTGGGGGGGGGGGGGGGGGGAAAAAAAAACAGGGGGGGGCGGGGGGGGGGGGGAGGAATAAAAAAGCAACTCTGAAAAATTCCCAAAACAACAGAAAGGACCAGTAATAGTTATAGAATAAGATTACTTAACAGCCTGCCATATCCTATACAATGTCAAGTACTTAAAAACTAGCGTACAGCTCTGCAAAAAAACCATGAACAACACCACAGTATCATACTTTCACCAGGAAGGCAAATACATAAGCACAATTATTTTGAAGAGCTTGCCTAACAAATCTCCCATGTGCAATATGGCTCTTTGGATTTATTTGGGTTTCCTTCCTAATCTCAGCTGAACTCTTTTGATGAAACTTTTCAAAAGAGACTTCAGCCTGACCAGTAAAAATTTGACAAACCTGTAAGCAGCTGAAAGCTGTGTCCTTCTAATGATAAATTAAGGACAACCTTAACTTCAGCAGATACTGCCGGGTCCACCTGTAATAGCTCACGCTTAACCTACATATATATTTTTAAAGAAACAGTAGTTATAAGTACTTCACCTAAAACATCCATTGTTAGTGGCTAAATATATGAAACTATATTTTCTATTAAACTTGCCTCATAAAAGTATCTTCCCCTAAGACAAAGATAAAAATGTTTCAAAGCCCACAACAATCCATGAGTCAAACTCAGAGGTACTGTGCCATGACAACATTAATTTCTTTCAAGAAAAGATATTCTTTGTTATATGGGCCACAAAATATACATCGTCATTCACTATTCATTTCCTGCTTTTTAAGGGTCTGGGTCCTGTAAAAAAAAAAAGAGGGGGAGGTGCATGGAAATTGTAGTGCTCCATACCACGCTCACAGTAAAAAAACAGACAAAGAGTTTCTGGAGAAAATCTCAGCAAAGATCATTTGACAAACATCATCCTGTCGGTAGAAGAAGCATGCGGGCAAAGCTGATGATGGGTCGGAGGGAGGGCCATTTCCAAACCTAGCTGATCCTTGCATGTCCACAGGAGAGTCTGGACCCACAGATCCAACCACACCTACAAGCCAATCTTTATAGTACGATTTAAAAGGAGTGATGCCATCCAAGGTCTACCTCGGTTTCTCTAGGGCTCTGGTCACACAAATGCACAAACAGATCTTTGCACTTGCCCCCTTGGTTCCAAAAGCTTCCATTGTAATTTTTTTGGAGAAACTAACAGAAATGGTATACAAAATGTGACATAATCACACTATTGATAAATCCTACATGATTTCATATAAAGCTTGTTGTTTCGCTTTCCCTAACATTTGCAGTTTGTACAAACGATGATGCCAATGTAAGAAGTCAGAGAAAAGTAGAATGGGTTGCTAACCTAATCAGATCAATAGCAAAAATCAACAGTGTACTCAACAGTGTACTGATAGCTAACGCAATGAAAAGATGAGGTTTTTAAATCAGGGTTTCTGTGCATGTGGGATCTATCCTTGCAAAAGTTTAATAAAAACCTAGCTGCAACATCTACTTGCTGTGCTAACCCTTTCCATCATGACAACAAATCTTGATACATAAATTGGAACAGCTTGCTCATCAGAAAAATGGAGTTGCCCATGTGTTTACATAAAATTAATTTTGAAAGGCTCTGTGTGTGCATGCAGAGCTCATGCTTGTGGACTGAGTGTTTTTAAAGGCTAGTCTCAAAGCACCATAGATTTGATATATGTAGTTAAACCACCACAAATATGAAGGTTCCTAGATTTAGTTTCCCTGTTCCAACATCTGCATATAGGCAAGCTCTAGGATTCAAGAATACCACCAGGTTTTGACTTCAGAAACGGAAATAGCTAATATTTTACATGATCTGGTTGTCTGCATAACTGGTATGCATGACAAGTGTTGCACACTCCAACAAAAAGAAAATCATCTGATAAAAATAATAAAATGGAGAGCTCTACAAAAAATGCATAACCCCGAGAGAGACTTTTTAAAAGGACAGCTCACGTTCCAAACATCATTCTTAATTGGATGTTACCTTATAAAGATATTTTATATTCACATATTCATATCCAGGTAACACTGCTTCAGTGGAGACACACGCACACAAGTTATTATTAATAAAACCAAACGTTATAATGATGTTAATTTTAACTATAAAAAAAATGTAATAACCCCAATCGTTTAAGGATTCATTTACATGGTACTCCTGCTCAGGTATTCATCATGTCCCTTATTAGGATAACATCTTCATCATTTATGTAGAGCACTTGAGTTGCTTATCGATACGACTATCTGAACAGTTAGTTCAATGTACATTGTGTGTTAAAAACCTGTTTATAATTTTAGTTTAGCTCCAAATAAACACCTTTAGTGCTTTTTTAATTTCCTTTTTTAATCACATTGATGTTAAGTACCATAGCCCTCCTTGTGATTCCATTCAAAGCAGCTTTAAAATATGTACCATTCGAAACAGAACACTTTGTCTGAGGACATTAAATGAAAATACAAAATGGTGTAAACTGGGGTAACTTTAGTGATTTGTTATGCAAACCTAACTAAAACAGCTGGGGATCTGGCCGCCCATAACATGACTCAGAGCAGTACAGCATTAATTACGCATGAAGCAGACTTGCTCCCTTTCCCGCTGAAGTCAATAGCAGTTTTACCTTCTATTCTTATCCCCAAATCCTGGCCCATGATTCAGATCCTAGATTCTCAAATTGCCCTATAAACAACGTGCCTCCAATGCAAGTACAAAGAAAAAAAACCTGAACGTTGCCAACAACCCCAGCACGGCCTTTTCCTATTAGAAATATGGACAGTCTTAGAACCTGCCATCTCTTTCCAATAGTTTGACCATTACAGTTGTTTTAGCATATTGTCATTCAGGCCAACATAATGGAGTTTTTACATGACCAGTTCTCAAAGAGCTTTATCTACCCTTTAAATAATAGCCTCTATAAGGGACAGCAGACCTAAGAGTGGGGAGGAAAGTGAATAATACTTAAATTAGCAAATGGTCACTGTAAAATACACCAGTTGATTTTTTTTTTTAAATCTTTGATACATTGAAGATGTGCTAGTCAGACATATTCCACTAAAATCTGGCTATGACATGAGAAGTCCAGTGAGTCGGGGCCATAAAAGGAAATAATGCTGAAATACCGATGAATAGTAAAATTTCAGCAGAAAATCATAATAGCGTGAGAGAGATAACATACCTGTTTGTCATTGGCCCTATGAAAGGGTTAGTGATTAGCTGCATAGTTGCTTTAGAAGCAAACAATAAACCAACTTGAACATTTTCATTTAGAAGGTCCTTGTCTTCTTCCTTAGGGCAATCTGAGGGTGTATCAGTCACATTTAAAACCATTTGTTCTGTCTGAGCAAGATACCAATCTTTCAGTCTTGTCCTATCAGACTGATTTCCAGTAACCATTGTAGAGTTGTCATAATAGGAGAAGATACTCTGAAAACTGTCCAATGTTGATGAAACTATCTTGGGCCTAACAGTGTGGTTTTCAGTCGCATTTTTGTGGTGTTTGATGCTGTAGAGGTAACTGGGAATTATTGGCACTGGAAAAAACAAACGGAGGACGTTGGTTACTCTACAGTTCCCATTGCAAATGACATCACTTCATTAGCCTGCATGCTTTATCATTGATAATGAAATGATAATAGAACAAGTAAAAAAAATAGGGCTTATCTTGCTGGAACATTATTAAGAGCTCTGTTGTTAATTTTTATCTACAGCACAGGATTATATTAATAAAAATTGTACCAGGAAGATGTATGCTGGCTGTATCGATGATATCTAGGCAGTGCAGTTATAACCTGCTTCTGTAAGCTTTTTTTCCAAAGTTCTTCAGATTTTGTTGGTTTGCATGAGTATAGCAGAGTCTTCCATAGATATTATTTAACAAGCAAAGTATGAGAAGAACCCAAGAAATTGCTTGTGCAGCCTTATCTGATACATATTTTTTTAAAGAACACTTATTGAGGTGTAAAACCACAGAATCCAAGAAAATGGTCTAGTAACATGTATTTTTATTACGTGCAATTAAATGCTGCACGAGTAAAAGTATTACGGGAAAAAATTTTGTATCATCTTTATAATAACAGGGGGAGCTATAACATTGATGTTCATTCTCTCTTCATCACTGGATTTTTGTTAAATTCACCTAACAGAAAAATCAAAAGTGAAATTCTTAATATGATTTTCTTTTCTTAGTATAATTTTCCTGAAAATACTTATGTATAATAAAAATACATTGGTCAAAATTATTGAAAGTGGATACCGCAGTATATTTTGCAAAGGAATAATAGTGATACAAGCAACAGTTGCTTACTTGTGTCACCTCTTGCAACATCTGAATATTCATCAGACCTGAAAAGATCTTCTAACATTAGGTTACTGAATAAGAAATGAGGCACTAATACATTTACGAGAGAATGATTTTCTTTAAAAAGATAGGAAAAAAATTAAAATATATACACAGCTTTATTTGAAGTCCTATTGTGGCACTGGGCTTTTTAAGCTGAACTTTCCATCAACATCAATGAGTTCAGTTTAAAAACTCATGCCACAGTGCACTCAAGGAGTCAAACCTGTAGCACCTATGTCTGAGGGTTACATGAGCAAGTATTTTCCACTTGTTTTCACTTTTTAAAAAACTGCATCCTTATATCAAAGTTTAAACTAAGAGAAGACAGTTTAAAACGATTAGTTAGTGTTCAAGCAACGTAAAACATTCATGTTAAATGCATTTATAGCCACGCCTGCATATAGGTCCTGACTCTGTGAAGTCAAGGGAAGTTTTGCTGTTGCCTTAAACCACTGGACCTTTCATCTTTGTTCTGGTCAAAGTTGATTGGGTTTTTTCACTCCACCTAATTCTGTTTTATTTCGAACTGATGTAGATGGCTTAATCTAGTTATCAGTGCTGCGCTACAGAAGTTATTATAACAATAATGATGGAGGGGGGAACCCTATCAAAGGGAAACATGTGCCTTGTGTGTTATCTGGCCCTCCCTTCAGTCCTCATGACCGCAGAGAGAAGGAAGGAAGAAGGCATCATTACAAAAACTTCAAAAAATGAGACAGAAGTGTTGGGTTGGGGGGGTTTTTCCTACTAGAAATATTTTTCTGCAGAAGCCCTCAACCAGGACTGACGGGGCCGGCTGGGCGGACAGGGCCCCCCGGGGGGCCTGCTCAAGTGCAGACAGCCGCATCTCTGATGGAGAAAAAAGCGCTGCAGGGAACTTTCCTGAAAATACATATAATAAAGAAAAGACCAACACGGCTACCAAATACACCCCTGAAAAACACAGAAGACGCTGGAATTGTAGCCCGTTTTGGATTCAAGCTTCATTGCTGAACAGCAAGGCAAGCAGGGAGGTGTCGAAATCTGCCTGATCCATCACAGAGCAACTGGCCCAGCCCCAGGGGGACCGCGGCCCCGCCGCCTCTGCGCAGCAATGAAGTTGACGGGAACTTTTCCCCACCTTTACTGTTCCCTGAGCCCCGAGACACCTTGCAGAAACGCGGGGTTTTGTTGTTGCTGTTGTGGAGATGTCTTAGTTGGGCTACTAAGAAAGCATCCCTGGGCTACTAAGGCATCATCCCCGAGCCAGGACTTGCAAAGAGCATGCTTTCTTCCCAAGGGGGGGGGGGGGGCACCTACCCACGACGGTGAGCAGCATGTTGTCCAGCAGCAGCGCGATGAAGACGATGAGCAGGATGAGTCTCCGCGACTGGCGGCTGTCTCGGAGCCAGC